CCGGTACCGGCAGGAAGCCCCGTGCACTCCTGTGGCACTTCAAACACCAATAATGAGCACGATCAAATTTGCACCAGTTTGGCACAGTTTTTCTCCAAACCCTGCAAATTGCTCCTTATTTCCACTTCATCAGAGCCAGGTTTAGGCTAGCACAGGCTGTAATATGGCATTTTCTGTTGGGGAGGAGTGGTGAAAGTAATTTTTCACATGTAAGAAGTGTTTCAACAAGATGAAAAAAAAAAAGAAACATACTCGACTTCCTTCATCAGTCTCGCAAACACGGACTGACCCACGTGCATGAACAGAAATGCACACAGGCAGGCTCACAGCTCTCGCTGCTGAGACAGCGGGGTAATCCCCACCACGAGCCTGTGGCCTCTGCATGAGTGCACATCACTGCGTGTTTTGTAAAATGACAAGTGATACAGGCAGCTGAGGCCAGCCTGATGCTTAACTTGGGGTTTACTCCTGTAAACAAAGTCAAGCGCTCCTTGCTGTTTTATATGATTCCCATCAATAAAATATCACACAGATGCCCTCCTGTATCTCTGAAACCAGTAAACAGATTGAAGAAACCTGAACAAGTGGTCCTGACTGTTAACAAAGTTGTCACGAAAAATCACCCTCACTTAGTGATGGGTTGTAGAGCAGAACCCATGGTACATGCCAGAAAAGCAGGCACTAGCCTCAAATATGTTTAAAAGGCATTAAAGAAAATCACACAGACTATAAAGCATTTCACACTGTGAAAAAAATGTGTTTCCCATCAATATTTTAAGCTCCCCTAACATTGCCTCTATTCTGAAAAAGCAAACATTAAATTATTCACCACTCTGCCTGATTTTATAAACTCCATTCCATTGTATGCGGGTTTACTTCTCTTAATTAACCAGCGTACCAGTGGAAAAGGCACCAAAGTAGGTGCGGGCACCGCATCCCTCCATTGAACGACCCACTGCATCCGAAACACGAAGAGGGCCCTGAGAGGGGGACAAGAGCAAGCACTTAAAGATGGAGAAGACCCAAGAGTGCCTGCAGGACACACAGCAGGAAGAGCCCCTTTGGTGCCCAGCCCCAGGTCCTGCACCCAGCCATCTTCAGGAACGCTCTCTCCACACCTTTTCAGAGCTGGGGCAGCCGAGCAGACACACAGCGAACAAGAGCAGACCACAACTCGTCCGTCGGTGCTGTCTGCTGCTCCCCACTCGGGGTGAGTAGCAATCGGATGGACAGAACTTGCCATCACCCCCGAACATCTCTGCTGCCCTGCACCACGGCACTGCTCGCCCTGGGGAGAGCCAGCCTCTCCCCTCCATCACTGGTTATTAGCACCCCAACACAGAAAACGTACTGGGCCCTGTCCCAGGCAACTCCTGCCCCAAGGTCCTTCTTTTCAAACCAGAGAAGCAGCCTCAATCAGTTACCATGCAGCTCTTCCAGGTCTGGTTCTCAGTGTACGGAGGGCAAAGACCCCACTAGCGCACCCCCTCGCCCCCGAGCCGGCTTGTCCCGTGCACCCACCGCCCCTCCTGGCTGCGGCACCAGCAACAAACACGCACAGAGAAGTCTGCTTCAGAGGACCTAATTCAGCACAAACCACTTCTCCACAGTCTCAGACAGGAGAATGCATTTCTGCACTGGCTGCATTATTAATCTGCAACAGATTTAAAAGCCCTTTAAGACAGGAGCTGATCCCTGCCGGGAATATAAATGACATGGTCCCAGAGTGTACATTTACATAGCTAATGCAGCTCTACTGCAGGTAAACAGGTCCGTTCTCTCCTCAAACACTTTTATTTAGTCCCATGCTGGGGCCAGATTAGAAAAAACACAGTATTAATTTTGCCTCCTGCAGACTAAATAGCATCTTTTCTTTTCCCCTGCAAATACAATGAGCGACTGCTAATTCACTCTTGTGACTGCTGAAGGGGAAGGGCAGTGCGAAAGCGGCACTCAGAGCTATATTTAGAGGAGCAGGGATCTGACAGCTAAATAGGGTCTTGTTTCTTTGTTTAATTTTTCCTCTGAATCTGCATATCTGCAGCCAGAGCTTCCCTGCTGCTGCAAATGACTTCTGAGACCATCGCATCACAGCTGCCAAGGAAGTCACCACTGCTTCAGGCATCCCTGAAGTCTCCC